CCCCAAAACCCCAAAACCCCAAAACCCCTCGAAGTAAAAAACACTATAAATTGGGATAATATTATAAAAATAGATTTTAATTCTAAATTATTACTATTGGAATTATGGGTAGTTTATTTTGCTGTGTTAAAAACGAGGATGATATCAACATTTCCTCAATAAATTATGTAAGTCTTTAAGCTTTTCAAGAAATATGTAAGTTGATAACTCAAAATAGTAACAAATGAAACAAAGAAAAGACTTGAACAGAATTTTGAGACTTCAACTAGCTATTATCAACGATGAGTCTTCTGCACCAATTCTACACTTTCCAGAGAGAGTAGGCAAAAATAGAAAAAATAAAAGACAAAGACAAACTGTTTCATACAAGATTAATGAAATGGCTGATTGCTTTGACACTTCTGTTGAGCTTAAAAATATGCTGAATCAAGGGTAAATTGAGTATCAGGGATATTAGAAGCCAAAGAATAATCTATATGACTCATTTGAAAGCTATAAGTAGAATTAGAATGATCAACATAATCAATCTGGGATGAATAGCAGGAAATCTTCTAACAGCAAACTTAGCTTCTGTAATCAATCATTTTCCTTGATGATCCTTCATGATATAGGTACAGCAAATGATTTGAAATCGCAAAACTCAGATCCTGAAGGATAATGTGGCCTTTAAGATCTTCTTGATGTCCCTAAAAATATTATCAATGAACACGAAACTGATTATGTTTTCGTAAGTATTTTTCGAGAAAAAAAATTAAAATAGTTCTCCATTCTTTCTAATTTATTTTCATAATTATGAGTTCTCCATTTATATGTTTTCAAGATAGTAACTTTAAATATAGACCAAGCAATTTCTGATAGATTTTATCAATGATTTAGAGAAAGATTAAGCTGGGCTTTAGCAGAAACTGGATGCTAATAATACACGAGTTTGGACGAAAACAGGCTCTAAATATGATAAATCTAATCCCTTTATAAAATGCGAGTGGACTTTCAATGAGACTAATGATCCTCGCGATGTATTTGAATTAGTAATAAGAGATTTTCTTAAATCATCAACTTTTTAGTATATGGATTTCAATAAGAGACTCAAATGGGATGATGGACTAGCAGAATACAGTGAACTTTTAAAGGCAAATAAAAATGTCCAAGTTGTTTATGTAGTCAGCAAGGCGCCATTAAACTTCAAAAACAGAGATTTCCTAGATAAAAGAATATTCTTCAAGCATGAAGGTGCTTATTACATCTATATCACATCTGCTCCAGACTCTGTAAGTTTTTATTTCCAGTTAATTATCTCTTCAGGTGAAACCACCCACCAATTAAAACTAAAGAGCGAAAAGTGTTGTAGGATGCTTTAAGATTATGTAAACACCTGATAAAAAGGGTGTTAAAATGATGGGTGCTTTATAAACTGATTTAAAGGTAAGAATATTTATCTAGTCCTGAAGTTCTATAATTAATGTATACAATAGATTGGCTTTGGGTTGAATATGGTGGCTGCTTTATTGCCTAAGGCTATGAATGAGTGGGGTGACAAAATTCGTAAATTTTTGCTCACTAATGATTCAAAACATCATCATCAGTGAAAAGTTTAATTCACAACTTAATTAGATAGAGTCAGCCCTTATATGATAAACTTAGGTCCAAATCTTATAAGGTTTCAATCCTTCCTCTTGTATTAAAATAGTTAATGTTCATAGCAATATCATCTTTCAATACATATAATTCATTTACAACTTTAATTTGTTCTCCCAATTCCTATTAAGAAATTTATACTTATAATCGGGGTTTTGGGGTTTTGGGGTTTTGGGG